TAAACATGTTTTAGAGTTTTCAAAAGATTTTATATGAGAGAGAATTGTTATAATATTAATATATTTAGAAAAATATAATAACAAAATTTCATAAAGGAAAATTAAAGTGCTAAAATTATACCATTATTCTCCATACAAAAGGAACTACTTAAATCAAGTTCTTTAGATAAATCCTTAAATGAATCAATTCATGTCTTAATTTAACATAATGATTTCCTCTTAAATTACTAGCCTGGAATGCTGTCTTCCTCAAATAAGTAAGATTGAGTGTTTATGTACGCAAAGAATGAAATTCTTCACTTGACCTTTTGAAGTCACTGAAAGACAAAAGCAATTGATTGAGTGCCAAAGGAGAGATTTAAACTGACGTTACAATTTTAAGGCTGACCAACTGTGAGCTCCCATTTGAAAGAATTTCACAACATTTTTAGCACAGGATTTTTATCCCTCAGGCTGAGTAGCTTTGGGTTACTCAAGGGTAAGAAGGGGCAAACTGAAACCCAGTCTACCAAACAAAACTGAACAGCACCAGTGATCTCTGCTACTTCTTGGCCACTCCATTGAAGGAAAGTCAAAGTTAGACTAAAGCTAAGTGCTAAGGTTGCAAAAGGAGATACTCTCTCCAATCATGTTATTTTGTTTTACAAATGTTGCTTTTGGCATGCTTTGTAAATTTCCTTTGCTTTCTCTACTTAAGGGACTGGAGAGATGGCTCTGGAGAAAGCAAGCTCTGTCTTTGCAGAGCACAGAAGTTTGTTTCCTTACATCCATGCTGGGCAACTCACAACTCCAGGCACAGGGGATCTGACCACCTCTTCTAGCCTCCGTGGGCACTTGCACAGACACATACGAGCATGCATAATTTAAAATTTTAAAGTCAGAATATTTTATTCAAAACATTTTAGATATTTGGCTTTTCTTTAAAACACACAAAGAGATATATGATATATGCACATAATCTAACAGATCCATTCCAGCTTTCCATGCATAAAGTAATCCGTAGCAATGAGAAAAATATGTTTTTTTTTTTAGATGGACATTGCCCCAAAGCCTGATTTTTAGTCATATATACACACATGGGCTGGCACACACACATACACGTATCACATCACATCTAATTATTTGGATGCATACAGAGGGATAGGCCATGGCAGATACGTGATGTGGGAATCAGTTCTCTCCTTCCACCATGGAGGTCCTAGGAATGGAACTCAGGTTGTCAGGCTCAGCAGCAAGTATCCTCACTTGCAGAGCCAGCTCAGTGGCTCTGGGGTGTTTTGCTTCTGATTTGCTGATTCATGTTTTTGTCCTTTTATTTTATGATCCTAATCAAAATAGATTTAAATGCTTCAACTTGAAAATGCACACAGAAAATTTAGCCTTAAAATGTTAAAGCCCCCGAAGGTATAGCTTTGAGATGTTCATTTTAATAAATGAGTAATGACATTGAACAGTCTGTAGTTCATATACACAGCTGGTCAAGTTGAGAATTCAAGTCAGCATGGAAAGAAAGCCTTAAATCCTTAGGTACGACAAGCTTCCTGCTTGTCTTCCCTGGTGTCTTTGTGGTGATGCAGATCAAACACAGCTTGTGAGCATGAAAGGAGTTGGAAAAGACAGAAATGAGCCACACTTAATATTTGCTTAAGAACAAAGGTAGATGATTCCATGATTGTGTGACTCGGGGTAATTCCTAAGACAAAATGCCTGGGGAAAACAACTTAAGGGGGAAAGGATTAATTTCAATCCAATGTGCCATGGTTGTGTTGAACTTGAGCCCTAGTGAGAAAATATCACAGTGGAGAGCTTGAGGCAGAGCAGAGCTCCCAACCATGTAGTGAAGAAGCAGTGGAAGGGGTTTGGGGCAAGACATGCCCTGTGGAGGCAGGTGAGCTCCACTCTCAGTCCAGGCAAGCCGACAGTCAACATTAACTTTCATCTCTAATATGGACAGTAACTCTCCCATTACCTTCATTAATATACAGAACTCAACATATTAAATATTGAAAGAAGATTACATGCTAGAAAGTATGTCTTCCCTAAACTTAAGTTGATCTATTAAGTGCTCAGTCTACTTATTTACTACTCAATATATGAAACTGTATGAATTAAATATATAAATGAAATAAATGGCCCCTGGAGCCAATCTATTTCCATTTCTAACATAGGTTTCACATTGTGGAAACAAGGTGTGGTGTAGCCAAAGATTCCTGTATAATGAAGCTTATCATTGCTTCAGTAAAGCCAAATGGAGGGGGACATAAGGCAATTCACTCATCAGTAGAGTGTTTTTAGAATTATTTCGGTGTACTAAAACAAAAAGTGTAGGAAGCTAATGAGTGCTACAAGAAAACATTTATAACATGAAATAAATCAAGCAAGCAAAAAAGGATGTTTCAAGACCCCAATTTCATAACAGGTACAAACAACATAAAAATGTACATCAAAATATAGCATGTACTACATAGCATATAGCTTATACCTACACCTATAACAATGTCATTCACAATAGCTAAAATATGGAAATTATACAAGGGTTCATCCACAGATTAATGGATAAGGAAAATGAATGCAGGTACAATGAAACGATATCAAAGTCAGAAAGGAAGAAAACGGTGATCTGTGCTACATCATGGAAGAACCTGGACGACATTGCATTCATTGAAATAAGCCAATTAGAAGAAGACAAGTGCATGATTCCATCTCTTTATAAAATCAAACACAGAATGTAGAATGCTGATGGCTAAGGTATGAGAGGATGGGGAAATGACTATAAGTTCCAGGACAGCCACGAAACCCTGCCTCAAAAAATAAATAAATAAATAAAAGATATATCATTTGGCTGTCAATAAATCCAGTTTTGTGTGGAGTAGAGAGTCTGGGAGACGAGGCGTGAGTGGTGGCTGCACAATGCTTTAAAGGGAGACTCCACAGCAATGTGACAGAACAGCTACATCTTGTCATGACTCTGAGTGAGAAGAACAGGGACAACAAAGGATGTTTTCCAGGAGCAGAAAAAGAGGCAGAGCTCGAGAAAGCAACAAATGAGTGATGGGAAAGCTAACTAGAGCAGAAGGGCAACACAGAGACAAGCAGAAAGCAGGGTGCCCATATCTCCAATGCTGGCTCCCTGGTATAGACTGGTAAGGGAGTGGGGGTGGGGTGTTAGGGATACCTACTACTTCAGACATGAGGTACATTGAGGGAGTACACTTAGCCTCAGTGTCAAGAAGCTGTCTGTCCCAGCTGCAGGAAATTCTGCACTTCTTACCAACCATATATACAGCGTAGGGACTTGGTCTGAACACGACTGCTTCAGCATAGCCAGGTGCCTTTAAAGAAAAAACAAAAACAAACAAACAAAGACCTGATGCCTACCTCATGTCACTCAGACTACTAAACCCAGGAACCTTCTTGAGAAGGAGCCATCAAGGACAAAACTACTTGGAATCAGGAAACATGGAATATTGCCAATTCAAGTTCCTTGGACACTCTGTCATGCTGGCAAGGTAGATCTGTTGTAACTGCCTTAGGAAACTAATCTATGAAGCGGCCATTAATTTTCTCTTCATGGGTAAGATTTTTTTTTCTATTTTATGCATAGACTAGATGGTTACAGTTAGGATCTTCTCATATCTTAGCTAAGTATCAGGTGCTGGATTTAGATTCTGCAGGATTAGAAAGCTATTGGAATAATCTCTGTATTTTGCCATTTACCTGTATTCTGTACATCTAGTATATGGTTCTTGATTAATGTTGTTCTTGTTGGTTGTAGTTCCATTTTTCTTTATGTTATTACCCTTTTTCTCTCCTGGACATTACTTGGTAATTCTTCTTACTGTATATAGTTTTGTGTTGGATTTAGAATCTTCTTATTTAGACAAAAAGGGGAAGTGTGGTGGGAATTTGTTCCACCAATTAGCTTTGAGGTATAAACCTTAGGGCGTGGCTTCTGATCCATGTGTCTGATCACTTAAAAAGAGGTGGGGGGGCATGTCTCTTCTTCATCTTGGGGTAGATTCAGACGGCTGGATCCATTCACTCCTGGGCAGAATGGAAGGTGGCTGTTCACTTGGTTCTGTATTCATGAGTGTGTCTTCCCCTTTATTACCTTAATAAATCCTTGTTACCCCTTAAACAGACTAAAGTGGATTTCTCATAATAAAACATGTTTCTTTCCTGACAGAAAAATGTGACTGAAAATATATTATGACCTAATCATATATACTCTGGAGATGATAATTATAACCTTTTAAAGTTAACCTGCAATCCAAATATTTGGGGGAAAAAACCCTATATTCAAGTAGATTCTGAAATTCTGAGTGTATGAAATCTTGACACTTTTGCCACTTTCATCTTCTGCATTTATAAGACTTTGGAACAAAGAATTATCAAGAATCAAAAAGATATATTAATAAAAACATCCAAGTCAACTGAGAAGTTTGGTAAAATCAATAAGTGCCTTCTGCAAGAGTAATCATGTTTGGTTCGTATAACATTGATTTGATTTCAGTAAAAGGTATTTCTAGGGTAGTCATGGAGAGAATTCAATATTGAATCTCCCCCCCAAACAAACAAAAGTACCTGTGTAGAAAGCAGAAATAACACAAAATAAAGCCATGGAAATAGAAGATTTTGGCTTCCTCTAGTATGTCTTAAAATAATTCAGGAGTCTTTCACACGGCATCCCTCACTTAGCAGAATAAAGTTGTGTAAGCTCTTGCCAGCTACTAAGGACACATGGCTGTTTCATCACTGACCACCTCCAAAGGGGACAGACTTCCTCAGAAGGAAAATGATCCTGTTTTTCTATAATTTCGTTTTCTAGAAAATCCTTGTGTTGAAATTAAATCTGTCAGAATCAACTAACATGTTTACTCATATTCAATAACTGTTTTTTTTCCTTATACTTGCTTTCATAACTAACTTGGTTCATAGCTTAAAACTATAGATTTAAAGAACTTGGGTTTGGAAAGCAAGAAATGAACAATTTCACTCACCTGATAAACTTCTTTTTATAGCATTCTGTCCTAACCACTTTCTGTTCTGGTCTTGAATGCTTCCATTGAAGGACAACCCTCTTTGCTGTCTGGGCAGGTATATCTACTGAGAGACGGTTACGTTGTCTGGAAAACGATCTATGGTATTCATACTTTAAGTTTTGAATGAGTAAGTTTATTAGTCATATAGCAAGGAAAGCAAAAGAGCAAGCAGGAAGCAGCAGAGAAATAACACAATCTCAAGCTGGGCACTTACAGCACCCTACAGAAGTGGTGGCAGGTACCTCACTGCAATGGCCGGCTGTCGTTCCCAACTGAAGGTCCCAGGCAGAACTTTGTTTTTATCCCTTGGCTGAAGTTTTAAGTTTCCTCTCCCCAACAAACACATTTTAATAACGTGATAAACAACGTGCATCTCTGTTGGAAATGGTTTAACTTCCAGTGGTTCTCAGAGGTGCCATGTTTAATACCTGTGGCTGGTTGGCATTTTCCCTCTTACAGAGCCAGGAGAGCAGCCTGCCCCAGGGTGGGAATATTAGAGGAAAATTAAGATAAGCATGCTTGAGTCTGAGACAAGGGTGCCTACATTGTCTTTGGAGTCTGCTCTTAACAAGTCGAAAGAGTATACGACAATTTACAAGTATAACTTAGATCATGTTTCATGTGGAACTCATGTCTGTCTTTTCGGGACTCTTACCATGGATTGGTCCTGTCACCGGTCAGCTTTGCCAAGGTGCTTTGGCTGTAACCAGTTAGAAACCATGGGTAGATGGTGACAGTGCTTAGAGTGCAGGTAACACAGCCTTGATAACTAGCAGTAGAGAGCAGAGCAGCAGGTGGGCAGGGGCAGCGGCAGGTGGTGCCGTCTAGTGTTTCAACTCCTGTGCAGGCCGCGGGTACTAGGAAACTTAGCCGTGTAAGCATCTCAAGCGCGTGTGTATGGCAAGGCAGTTAGGATTCTTCAACTGGCAGTACAGGTTTCAGGAATAGAAACTGGTATTCTTTAGCTCTTGATGGCACCCAGGGTTACAGCTCCTGTGTTGGGCGTCTGTGGGACCCATGGCCCTGAAGAAGTGACAGGCCTCTGGACGGCTCAAAACAGTCGGGGGTAGTGGTTTCTCTTCCATGTCTCCCCATACCTTTCTATCCTTGGATCTTTTACCTTCCCTCAGTCGCTCTTCCCTATGGTTCTGCTCTGCCTCTCACTTCAACTCTCCGGCCGTGTCCTGTTGTAATGACCATGGTCACAGCTGCCATCACTGAAGAGGCCGTTCCTATGCCCTTTTGGCTGCTGATGTCTCTGCTCTTGAGGCTTCTCCCCTTGGAGTTGCCATTGCAGCTGGTTGCTTTGCCACTTTTACAGCTGGGCTGGCCAATTGTCCAGTCCCAAGTCTTCAGCTCGCTAGGCCAACAGCCAGCTCACTGCCACAACTCCTCTTCTGCCATTAGTCAAGGTTCTGCAGGTTCCTGTGGCTCCATCTTTGCTGATCACCAGGGATTCTCGGTTGCCATGGCTCCCCGGTTTTCGGCACAACCTGCCACCATTCTCCATGTTTCCCCTCGGTGGTGGCTGTCGAAGCTGCGCCCCCCCCCCCATTTTTGCTTCAGTGCCTCTGCTTGCCCTGATGCTCATTTGCGACGCCACTGCCACCCTGCCACGGCTGCCACCGTCACAGCCACTATGTTGCCTCTGCTGGCACTGCATCTTTCTTCAGGTAACCAGCTCAGCCGATTCAACTAAAAGTATCTACTCTAAGCAAAGACCACCTCAGCAAAATATTTCATTGGACCTAAGGTTGCAACACCAGGAGAGGGGGCCTAGGAAGATGTCTCCCAGCTTGCACACCAACTGAGCCCGACAGCCTGCTTATATAGCCAGAGACTGTGTGTCTGCACCAGGAAGAGCAAACCTTTCATGCAGAGGAATATTGACGTTTCTACCAATCACGGCACTGTGCTCTTTGTACCAGTCACAGCAATCCCCGTGCAGGCCACCTGGGGAAAGTGCTCCTCTTGTTCAGGTGAACAGGGTTGCAGGAAAAGTCCAGCGCAAGCTGTTTAAGCAGTCTTGGCTGGGGCTGCACCCTCAGGCACAAGAATAAGCAGTTGCTCTCACCTTACGGCTTCCCCATGGCGTTCATGGAGCATTCAGAATGGCCAGGGTTAGTATAATTGTGGTCTATCTGGCTGCTCTCACCTTCCAGCTTCCCTATGGCATTCGTGGAGCATTCAGAACGGCCAGCGTTAGTATAATTGTGGTCTATCTGGCTGCTTCACTGAAGAGGGTTTTGCTCAAGGCACACAGAGCCACAAGGGTGCTCAGCAGACTGCTAATTAGGCAGTCAAGTCACCCCATCCCCCAACATCCTTGTTTCTTTACAGGAACATAAACATTGAAAGGAGGCTTGGAGTGAGATCTTGAGAAGCATATCATTAACACTATCAGCAAATCTTTAGCAGAGTTTAAATGTGTCAGTGATGCCCAGCAACTGTCCGGCACCCCAGAAAGTGGTGAGTCCCCTTATCTGCCTCAGTCTTGCTCTTGCCAGAGCACACTGAGCAAACACCTCCACACTTGAGTTATTTGGACATCTGAAAACCACACACAAGCTCTCCCCTTATCTCTATCTCTCTACGTTACTTGATTTTTGGACTCGATATTTACAACACCAGTCACGTTTCTTTGAACAAATCTCCTTTATCCATTTATCCATCCACAGTCTGACTCCCAAAAGCCAACACATTCCATATGTGGTGTGGGCACTCAGCAACGCCAGGCTGACCTGTGTGCCCCAAATCAGGTTCTCTGTAATTGGAGGCGACATGACACTCCTGTTGATTAGCCAGCCAAAAGTCTGCCACAGTAGTCCTTGGAATATCTCGTATATCTAGTATTCCTTAGAATATAAAATTCGGAGGCTTCTTTTTTCTTTTATCTAAAAGGGTGGTACTTTTTTTAAAAAACCTCAACAGGCAAAACATGTTATTTAATACTTGTTGGATACCATCGCTGTATGTCTTACAGCCTTTGAAATGTTTTCAACTTCTTTAAATCGTAATTCTTTCTTGCATATAGTAGCCCTGAGAGTCTTTCACTGGGCTCAAGTTTAATGAGATATTCCCTTGGTTCTTTCAGCAGACCCTTTAAGTAAAGCTCTGATGCTCTCACGTATTAGTAACGATGATAGCTATGCTATATCACCAAACACTGCTCTAAGGGTTCCAGTGTCATCACGTCTAAGATGAAGACTATGCTGGCCCTCCTGCTACACGCGAAGACACAGCTACTAAGCGGTGACAGAAAGGCTGCCTAGCTGGTTGTTTCAGAGCATACTCGTTTTGACTGGTTAGTCTGGCAATACCTTCTAAGTATTTTAAAATAGCCCCTGAAGGGTGCCAAGATTTGAACCCCAGCTGCCTGACTCCAGTCTGTCTTCTTCATCAGGCTGAATCCTATCTTCCCACGACAGATGAAGCAAAGGGCAAACAAAGTAAGTGACAACTGGGTTTTCCCACGTTCCTGCCACTGATGCCGTGCTTTTACCTCGCAGGACATTCGATATGTAAGTAAAAAATCTGCTGCCAAAACTTTAATAGCACTAAAGGGCAAAGGAAAATACAGCAAATAGCTGAATTTATCATGGATAGCTCCTCCAATGGCACAAATGGATGCATTTACTGACACTGAATGTATCATTTAAAACAGCTGTGTGAAGCTATATGCAATGCTGTGTGCATGCGAGGTGAGGCATCTTCCCCCTGAGAGACAATGTGCAGCTTTAATAGACGCTTAGGTGAGCTACAGACATACAATAGTTCAGCACTGCATAGGCTCCCATCTCGGATGTGTGCCTAAATGTGTTCATCTTTCAAGGAGATGAGGCAATAAAGAAAAATCTTGTTGAAATCATAGAACCCATAATTATGATCCTTAAACTCAGGAATTTGATGTCAAGCGAAACAGTTACTACGTTTGCGCTTCAGTTTTCACATTTGTGAGACAGGTGAGGATCGTACCTCCTTCAGACTGTTGTGAGAGAAAAGAAAACTAATGTGGGCAGCACGCTGGGAATAACTTCTGGTGCAGAATAGACACTTAATATACATTTACATTAGTGTGAGCAGTGTCCTAGGACTGATTATGGTGCGCCAACATTTTCAAAGCTAAAGAAAGTATTAAACAAAGCACGTTTTTCAGAATGAATTATAGCCATGATTTGAAAAAAATAACATTATTTATAATTTCAAATAAATGTTATTTGGACAAGAAGAAGCCATCTATCTGAATTAAAGGGGGTGGCTTTACAGTTCATTCATCAGGAAGACCTCATCTGCTGGCATACATCAGTGGAAACATTTGACAAAAACGGAAGCGTGGATTTCCTTTCCACTGGCCAGCTTAGTGATACTCTCAAAAGTGGAAAGAATTCTGTCGGTCTAAACAAAGCAAAAGCTAGAAGGCAAAGCAATAAGCATGGCTAATTTTAAAATGTTACCTCACTGTGCTATCAGAAGAGTGTGGTCTGGGCTCTTGCCTTGCAGTATGCCCTGAGAATAGAGGTGCTGAGAGGCCCGTGTTCTAAATGATCTTTTCCAAGGTTATCTGTTGCTATTGCTCTGGGAAATAGAGAAAATGAAGGTTGATTGCTGCTTAGGATGAAGATAATGATAAAGATAATGTCTCTGCTGGACAAAGACTGGATTGATGTGCCTACTATTAGAGAATTCAGGATAGCATGAGCCTTGGGCTGAGTATATAAGTATCACCTCCTGTCACAGCACCTTTTTGGAATTAGAGCTTGATAAAAAAGGGGATGTCTCAACAAACCACCTTCCAAATCCTCATGTTTAGGCCCATAGATAAGTGTGGCTGTCAGCTTTCCTCAGAGGAATTTCTTATTACTTGGGAAGTGGTTAATGCATAACTGGTCAAAGTGTCAAGAATAAGTGAAAATATAACACCCTGCTATGTTCCTTACTGTTTGTCTCTGCTTACCTCCTCTGACTGAAACCCTTGACTGTGTCTCTCATGTGACTCAATTCCCAGGGCCTCTCTATCCATTATACCTGTTCTTACATTTGGTGGCACCCTGTGACCAATGCCTTTAACATTCAGAGAGAATACTGCCAACACACAAACTTACAATGTATAAGAGACCAGAATTCCCACCATCTGTACATTACATTTCTGTCTTTCTCTTTCTTTTCTGAAGTAGCCATATCACTCTACTAATGCATAACAAACTTCTATGTACTAAGACTTTGCTATTATAAAAACACTGCTAAATCAGGTCTACATAATTTTGTGTATACATTATATATTATAGATGACCCACACACACTAATTATTGACCACAGGTTCTATGAATACCTATGTTTTATAATGTTATCAGCAAAAAAGTCAAAATCATCAATGTACTGGTGTAACTGGTTTATAAGCATAATTCCCTATACATCAAATTCAAATTCTGAATTTCAAGTGTGAGTCCAAATAAAAATCTTTATATAAATGTGTTATATCAGAATGTGGTACCAAAAATGTTCACTCTGCATCTCATCATCACCACAAATGAAACTGGATTTATAAAATAAATATTTCATAATTTAGAGTTATTTTAGAACTTTGGGGTTTTTAATGAAATTTCTTGAAGATCTCTTCATTGTTGAGTATGACTAACCCTGCCACCACTGACACTATGGCAATGTCTCATAAGCAAAATGCACTCTCTTCTGTGACCTGTAACAGCGGCACAATTCTATTCCAGGCCTGACAGCTGAATCTCATAAGACCTTTGGAACACCAAGCGTAGTCCGGGACAGCTGATTCTGGCCAGAGTGATCACTATAGACAAACAATTCTGTTGCTGGAGGGCTTCTCTCCAGGCCCCACCAAGCCCCCGCAGTCCCACAACCCACGTATAAAATAATCACTCAGACGCTTATATTATTTATAAACTGTATGGCCATGGCAGACTTCTTGTTAACTGTTCTTATATCTTAAATTAACCCATTTCTATAAATCTATACCTTGCCACATGGCTCATGGCTTACCGGCATCTTTGCATGCTGCTTGTCATGGTGATGGCTGGCAGTGTCCCTTCCTCAGCCTTTCACTTCCCAGAAAATTCCATTTGACTAGTTATTTGAAAGAAGAAAGAGGAAAATTATTTGACTTGACTGTGTATCAAGATAGGCTTCCCTTAGATCCAAATCTGGAATGACTAGAAAATGTTCACTTTGAAAATTGACATCTACTTAGAAAGTGGAGAGGGGCAATTTAATGATTTACACTCAGGTTTTCCTCAATCCCTTTCTAGCAGCTGCTCTTTAAGCTTGAGGGAACTCTGGCTGACACACAGAATCCCAGATCAAGAGCCAGAAAGTTGTCTGCACAAGCCTGGAGATGGCCCAGCAGTCCACACACCATTGAACACTCTAGGTGAGCAGAAAGCCGGTCATCAGCAAACTGCATTTTCAGAGACACTTCCTAATCCCTGTCTCTACCCCCGGAGGTTACTCCTACCAAACAGTATCTGCTCTACATACTCCTTGATTTGTATATTATATATTATTAATATATCATTTTCAGAAGCCATACCAATGCAAAAAAAAAAGACTTGATGAGACACAGGCTATAATTTATTTAGTGATTCAAAGTGCTTATAAGCCATATCTCCAATTCACAGGACCCCTCACACCAGAAGTTAACAAAAGACGCTGGCAAACTTCAATGTTTCCAATATAGAAGCATTTACTCAATGCACACATATATGCGCTGAAGGAGCTGGGAGATGACTCATTGGGCAAAAGCATAAGGATCTGTGCACTCACATAAAAATCAGCCAGTGTGAAGTAGTCTCTATCCTGGTGGGGCTTGGGGTAAGAAGAGGGCAGATCCTGGGGGCTCGCTAGCCTGCCAGTCCAGCTGAAAGAACAAGCTCCAGGCTCAGTAAGAGAACCTGTCTAGGGCTGCTTCCAAGAGCCATTCCAATCTGAGTAGCCTGTGCTGCCACCTGGAGCCAGGGAGACATCCGGCCCAGGCTACAGCATAGGGGCATGTCTGGTCTGTGATCCTACAACAACAGGTTCTGTGTTGATGCCCATGGCCCAAGTTGCCACCAAAGACCACACAGAGGCCTAGGGTCTAGACTGCAATCTGTGGCCATGCTGGTGTGGCCGCTGTGCAGGTCATGCCAATCTGAGTGGCCTGAGCTGTCACCGGGGGGCCATAGTGTTGTCTAGGTCAGGGCTCCTGCTGAAGGTCATGGTCCTGCTGCAGCTGGGGTCTGTATTTTGTCCTTGTCCTGTGTTACCACAGGGAGTCATAGGAACCATGTGTGCTGAAATCTGAGGTCCACGCTGAGCTGCCTGCTCCCTACCGCTCACTGGCCCTGGGATAGCTAGCCTTGCCCCTCGCTGGACACTGCAGCAGGAGAGCTGTTCTGGCTCTCATGGGAGAGCTAGCCCCACACTCAGGAGAGATGGTCCCACCCCTCACCACAGGCATGGGAGAGCTGGCCCTGATGGCATGGGTCTAGGAGAGCTGGCTCCACACCTCACCTGAAAGGAGTGGTCCCAGCAGCCCAGACTGACCAGCTCAGCTACCACGCAGACCCACATCCTGGGCCTTGTGCTGTGGGATGTCCTGTATGTTGTGAATAAATAAAATGCTGATTGGCCAGTAGCCAGGCAAGAAGTATGGGATAGGTGGGACAAACAGAGAAGAAAGGCTGGGAGGTGGAAGCCTAGAGGAGATGCCAGCCTGCCGTCCAGGGAGCATTATGCAAAGGCAGCAGGTAAAGCCTCGGAATACGTGGCAACATATAGATTAACAGAAATAAGCTGAGTTAAGTGTAAGAGCTAGTCAATGGTAGGCCTGAGCTAATGGCCCAACTTATTTAAATAATATAAGCATCTGTGTGCTTATTTTATAAGTGGGCTATGGACTGTGGGGACTTGGCAGACCAGGAGAGAAGCTCTCCAGCTACAGCCTTGTGTTGGCCCACCCCAACATCTACCCCATCTATGACCTGCTGGAGTGTGTGAAAGCACTGGTCCTGCAGAATGATAGCCACAGGATCTCCATGACTTGGGATGACTGAGAGCTATCCAAGCGGAGTTTTGGTGAAGGTCCATTGATGACAGTGTGCCAGAGGCCAGAGGAATCAGACCAATGACTCTTTGCAATGAACATTTGTGTGTGTGGCTGATTGAACAAAAGGGTATAATGTGTGACACACCATAGCTTCCAATGCCACTAGGATGAATGAAGAGGTATTGGAGAGACAGAGAGGACAGAGGAGCAAGGTGGGGTTTCTGTTGCTGTTGTTTGCTTTGTTTTGTTTTTAATTAAATGGGGGGGCATGCATTCCCTTTGGGGTAGTGACACTGCAGTGGTGAGGGGCCTATATAGTGGGACAGGGAGGTGAGTGGGATTGGGTAGCATTACATGAAATTCCAAAAAAAAAAATCAATAAATAATATGTTTGAGAGAAAGAGAGAGAGAAAGGAGGGGGAGACTGTCTCAAAAGTGTACTGGAGAACAACAGAGGAAAACACCAATGTCAGCCTCTGGCACTGTACACCCAGGTGCATATTTGTATACACACACACACACACACACACACACACACACACACACACACTGAAGGATCTTCTCTCCTTTGAAAGAGTGTCCTTGTAACCAGTCCAGAACTTGAGTGTACAATGATCCCAGTTTCAGTCAGCAGTTGCCAGATGTTACGTTGGCCAGGGTCCTGAGAAAGATGGCTCCAGAATTCTTCTGTGTAGATCAGCTTTAGCCATCTTGGAAAGAGTTTTGGCCCCGTGCCTCCAAACCAATCAAACAAGGACAGACTTCAGGCACGAACTTCTGCTTGAGTCTCTCTGACAGATTGTGATGGCCAGGCTAATAGAAAGCTGTGATTTTGTTAAGGATCAAAGTCCCTTTGACTGGGTTCCTTCAGAAAAAACTCAGTGCTGAGAATGCATGCCACTAAGTGCAAGGGCTGACTTTTCTAACAGAAGACAGAACACACAACTCAACTGTGCGATGAGGGGGAGTGTGTGCACTGGACATTTCAAGTCTCTTTGACAAGTAAGCGACTCAGTTGTGATACTTATTAGACGATATCTCAGCAAATACTTCCTCATGATACACAGTTCTTCACATCCAGAAAGACTTGGAGTCATTGCTAGCTTACCATTTTTTTCTTTTAAATATCAATCATGTGCATGATTTCAATATTTAATTCATATAGTTCATCAACAAAACTATAAATTCCCTGAGGACCTCATATCTTAGATGTTTTCATTTATCTGTAATTTAATTTGTCTTTACAAGCACATGGCAGAAACTAGCTAATATATCCATTACCCTTTGGAGTATCAACTACACTTTCTCTCCTCCCTTGAAGCTAAACATGACCATGTGCCTGAATTCTGAACATAGAGTGTGGTCAGAAATAAGGTTCCTGCTTCTAAGACAGACTCACCAAGCATCCCTCCCACAGCCCTCTTGGTCTTTCCCTTGCCTGCCATTTGGATGGAGACCAGTGAGAAATAGTTGATGGTATGGACAGAACCACTAGAAATAGGAAAGCAGGCTCCTGGATTTTCTCTTCTGGAGAGTCAGCCAGTTGCTGCCTCACAGAAAACAACCAGGTTGAACTGGAGAATAATAAGCAAAGTCTTCACCATATACCCTGAAATTCTGGAATTTTCAAATATGAGCATTTAGCTTACCTTACACAGAGCTCTTCATTGAAGTGTGTATCATGTATATGTTGTTTATTTATTTCCTTATCTCCATAAATATTCTAGAAGCCCCTTGAAACTGGAACTGTGCCTAATTTTGCTCTCCAACAAGCATTTGCTCCTGGCCCAGTGCCTGGTAAGTAGCAAGTCCTCAATAAATCCTGTTGAGTGTGTGAATACAGGGAAACGTATACAAACACGAGTAAGTTAATAAATGCTTCTTCAGCTGAAGCATAGAAACAAGGGAAGAAATCCAAAAGCAGATCTTAGGGAAAATGCCCATCATTTCTTACTTTGTCTTTTATCCTCTGATGCAAAACATTTCAAAAGCACTTGGAAGCAAATTTTGGCATGTTCTAATTAATCCAGTCATATCATGGCTACTGAACAAATGGCCTATATTTTCTGCTCTCACACCATGTCTATGTAACTTATTCTTCCTTAATGAGTGTGATTGTGTTGCTATGTGACATATTTTAGCAGCCAGCCAATGTTACACCTGTGCTGGTGCCATTTGAATGCTGTACTAATTTTGCCTAATTTGTTCTGATACATAATAACTCTTCTCGCCAGACAGCTCCAGATGCCTGCCTAAAACAACTTGCATCTTTATATGAGCCCCTGTGTAGATCAGATTAGATCAACAGCCCTGGCACACAATGCTAAAAGTAATCTCCCTTTGTCTTCTCTGACTGCAAAGCCAAATCAATGCCAGCAGGTGCCTTTACATGTTATCGCCTTTGCTGTCAGTCAGTGCCAACACAGACAAGCTCAACAGGATTAGAAGAAGCAGAACGGTTGTTAAACCATGTGTGCTGCCAAGACAACAGTGTATATTGCATCTATTGCCTGGTCTACACATCCACAGCACCCAACAATGAGTATGGCTAATGGTTTGATAAAAACTCAACCTGCACATCAAGCAAAAAGTTAATGAGGAACAATTATAGAACATAAACAAAATACAACTAGTCACATAAAGGCTAGGGCATCAGCTCACTACCCAATATGCACATCAGATGTTTATAAAGAAACATATCTCATTGGTGTAAGTTTGATTTACAAATTGGTAATATTCCCTCAGTTTTACCTGTTTGGTACTGCATGAAGAAACAATCACTCTATAAATATTGTTAATTGACTGTCACACACATTGACCATTTTAGTCTTTCCAAGATGTATTTGTCTACAAAACTCTGGTTTGTGTGTGCCAGTGAATTATAAATAACAAGCCCTTTAATACGTTTTATCAAGACATGAAATATATGTGCCATCCCTTTGAACCTAGGCTAAGCTGTCACTGTCATTACCAGTCTGTACAGTGAAAGTGATGATATTCTAGCCTCTGTTTTACTTTTACAATGATGAGTTCCATCTCTCCTGGGAGAAGTTTACAGCCATGCTGGAGAGACCACACTAGGAGGGGACACAGTCATGCAATAAAGACGAAGATCTATGCGAACTCAGTCTCCAAGCTATGGGCCTCAATATAGCAGGCTTTTGAGTAAATTCTCCTTTGTTACCTTCAGACTGGCCAAGACACCAGATAGACATCATAAAGGGACCCCATACAACCAACACCTTAGAAAGGAGAAAAATCATGCAGCTAAGCTCTGATGAAATTCCTCTCAAATCAAATGAAAACTTAGCCCTAAATCGCACATCTATATCACTCCCTCCAAAGTGCAGGGGACATTCAGTGAGAAGGGGCAGAAAGAATATTAGAACCAGAGGAGGACTATGGAGCTGTGTCCTAAACATGACATGGCCATTCCACTCACAAAATCACAGCAGCTGTGGTTTCCTCAGAAGACCTGCATATGATTGATCCTATCAACAGTTCATCATGGCTGGGGAATTAGAGGCTCCAACTCTCTTTAAGGACTCATTGGCAATTAATGATGGGGGAGGCACTTCCTTCAGTGGTTGGAGCCACTGGCTAGTTTCACATGCTCCAGTAAATAACCTCCTACATATGCTCATGTGAAAAACCCTAATTAAACTCAGCGGATCACAAAACCTGTAAAAACAAAACAAAACAAACAAAAAATGTCATGAAAATAGAAGGGGGGATCTTAGGGACCAGCAGGCATTCCAGCATAAGTGAGAGGGGAATAGGAAAGAGTAATAGGAGTACATGATCCAATTACATCAAAACTTTTATGACACTGTCAAAGAATAAATGTGCAATGAAACGATTTTTAAAGTAAATGCAACAACCAAATGCATTGATTCCACACAATAAAATGTGGAATTTCACTCTGTTACAAAGAGAAAGAAGAAGAGAAAAGAACTATTACTTACAATAAGACAGTAGTTTGAAAGCACTGAATTCATGGGGGTATTTTAAATGCAGCAACAGAATAAATGAAATACACAGACATAAAATTCATCGGAATGGCCAGAGCACAAAATGACCTGACCAGAAGAACACAGGGCAGAATGGAAGTGGACAGTTCCACTCTGCGAGAGTAAGGCACCCCAGTGCTGGCCCAGAGTACCTGCAATCCCTCCAAACCTCAGCTCAGTCACCATCGCTCAGCTTCTGCTGACTGCCTGAGGGATTTCTTTCCAAAGGCCATAAAATTAAATTAGAATTCACTGCTTAAGTGTAATGATTTCCCACTGTTTATGTGGGTTATCGTTTACAACCAACTGGCATTTAATCAAACCACTATTTTTATTTCAGGACCAGAGGCCACAACATTGTGTATTTTCTCTGTCTCCCTGTTGAGCAAGGTAGTTTCATCCAGACTGTGAGGGGATCTCAAATTGTTTATGAAAAGCCAGAATGAAGTATTGTTTTCAAACATATTTATGATTTCACACCAACTGAGGAAGGATTTAGTTCATTTTGTTGATTGACACATAATTTTTCATTTACATATATAATAATAACAAAATCTGGAGGAAAAAACATAGGAATTAAAGGAACATGACCACATTCTGGTATGAATTTGCTAATAAAATTGGTGACATCCCAGATCTGATTCTGCTGGGAACAGGAGGAATACAGATTATGTGCACGATTGCCTACCGCAATGAATTCTCCCTGCTTATTACACTGTGGTTCTTCTCCTGTCCACAGCCCTTCTCCTTCCCTTTGCTTGGTCCATAGTCCCCTCCCTATTTCCTCCTTTCTTCTTGAATCAAGACTCATTATCTGTCTATCAGACCCACACATAGTGTTGTCCACTCTGAATATTCCCTTCTACTTTTGAGCAATACTGCTCTCCTCCCGTATAAGCGTTGCCTCCCTCCAGACCCTGACTCCAGATCCTTTTATGACTGCAGCAGATAGTAAGAAAAGTAAATAAACCATGTACCTGTCATCATGTGGTCTTAAATTCTTCCTTTTGAAGCCTTCCCTTTATCATCAGACTGCACGTCACCACCTGTGGACATCTATAGCCCTGTTGATTCCAGATTAAAGTTCTTATCTCAAATTAGCATGCCTCCCTTTCCTAACAGAACAGAAGCTCCTCAAGACAGACCTGATTCCCTTACTCCCCACAACACCAAGCAACTATACCAAAGTGTGTTCTCTTTGCAGGTAGTGGGCATTTATCTGGCAAATCCTGTTATATCATGAAATATCTGTCAAAATATTAAACAGACTCTCAGATGGCCTTCCATTCCTCTTTGATAAATTATAAGCAGTGCAAATAAAACTTTGGAAATACACTGTTTGGCTACTGTGAAGATCACATTTACATATCATCTCCTAGCATAGAGTCCTTTGACAACCCTGGTGTTGGGCAGATTTCCATCCATTGAATAACTAATTAGTTAATGCTAGGTGTGCAGGATCCCTGTGATTGGAGTTATGCACAACCAATTTTTCCTAATAAACTATATTTAGATCAAGTCTATTAATTTATTTAAAAGAAATTACTGCCTTCAAAATCTCTTAGGCGTTCCTAAGACAAAACTTTTGAAATTATATGAATTTTCAGGATGCTTCAGGTAAGTTGACAATTAAAAATCAGGCACAGCACGTAATAGGATATTTACATATATGGGCAATCTCAGTTCAGAGAAACGTACATTTTATTTTATACATGCCAGTAGTTGTTATGGTCGTGACACAGCTGCTAAAAATTACAGGTTTTCAGTGGCAAGCCTTAGCCGTCACTATAATTATTATTATTTCATCAAAAACAATCGCAGGGAGTATTTTAGGCTGACAAAAACCTTCTAGGTCTTTGTTTATTCCTTACACCATATATTCTGCCCTCCATGCCAACTGAGTTAAAGCTCTCTTCCTCCTGACTTCAAGCCTATTATTAGAGCAAGCAAAGGTTCTGCCTTTAATACGAAGTAAAGCTGGAGACCGTGAGAGCACCCATCACAGAATATAAATGAAAGGAATCACAACCTGGGAAGATACATCAGTGGGTTCCCAGCAGCATCCCACAAAGGGATGGCGGTTTACTGAGCAACGTCAACTCCAAAGACATAAAGCAACACAGACATGCCAGCCTGAACCGATTGACACTCAGAGACAGCATCAACAGCTCAAGGAGGTCAGGTCTGCTGGCTAAGGAGCAAATTTGGAAAAGGCTGCTCATTTGGAGGCCTAGTTTTTTCCTTTCTGATACCATATGGGCATTCTAAAATGAAGTTTCTCACCACATTGAAAGATTTCCTTGTCCTTTAAACTCCCCAACAAGACTGTAGCAGTGTTCCAGGAAAAAAAAAAAAAAAAGAAAAGAAAGAAAGAAAAGAGTCCTCTGTCACATAGTGTCCAAAGAAATGACAAGGGGGGAAATACCACTTGCTGAAGTATGGCTTCAGGACAGAGCACCAGTCAATGGATGTTGGTTTAAATAATGAAGTGTCTCTCCAAAATGCATATGATGAAGGCCTGGTCTCCAATATAGTGTTTAGAGAATGGGACTTTGGGGAAATGATTAGATCATAAGATCTCTGAACTTCTCAGTAATGTAACTGACTCATGGATGCATCCTGTGATGTCATTATTAGGTGATGCTGACCAGGAGGAAGGTCCTGGTTTGGTGAAAACGGGTCACCTAAGGTAAGACTTTAAAGGATGTACCTTGTCTATGGCTCCTCCCTGACTCTCAATCTATCTCCCGGAACACAGGTGAACAGTTTTGCTCCAGTACGAGCTCTGCACAGTGATTCTCTGTTTCACATTAAGCTGATGACCAGGGCCCATCTGGCCACACAACGAAACTCCTGAGCTGTGAGCCAAAACAGATCCTGCTGCTTTCAAGGGTTCTATTCCCCAGGCATATCACCACATCAATGCAAAAATTTGACTAACACAGCTAAGGATAAGTTACGGAGGCATTTCACACAGTCCAGGCTGTAGCCACAATGGTCAGTAAGCATTGTAGAGTGTAATACAGATTGGTACTGGAGTAGACAAGTGTGCCTCATGCCAACATCATGTTGGGATTATCATGTTTACTTTTGGCTGTTGAGTAAAATAGGAAAATAAAGGTTCTAAAATTCTTAGTCCATATTTCACAGGAAAACTTCCAATATTTCAATGACAAGCAAAGTCAAGAGCTAATGCTAAGAATGACAGCCTAGAAAGGCTATGGTATAATCTCTACAGTTTTATAATATAAAGCTGGATGCCCCTATTTTTGCTCAATAGTCATGAGCAACAAGCCATGTTTAAAGCCCTGGGAGACCTATTGAAGTTTGAAGCTCCTTTTCCATAAAAATTAAGAAGTACATTTTAGCAACATTCAGAGTCTTAATGCTCAACTCTATCAATGTTTTAAGATGACCCTGTACTTGTGAACTCCAGAATGAATCAGCAGTCACACTGTACACAGAAATGTACACATTTGCCAAAGCTTGAACATCATTGTTTTCATTTGGTTATGTTGAAACATCATGTACATTGTTACACTTCAAGCCTGACTTTCCTGTCCCCTTTTTTTTGGATTTTTCGAGACAGGCTTTCTCTGTGTAGCTTGGGAGCCTGTCTTGGAACTCACTCTGTAGACCAGGCTGGCCTTGAACTCACAGAGATCTGCCTGCCTCTGCCTCCCAAATGCTGGGATTAAAGGCATGTGCCACCACTGCCCAGCTGACTTTCCTGTCTTTATGTGCTCCTTCTGACACACTCATACTTAATACCGTTATTACACTCAAGACAGGAAGTTCTATTTTAGGCTTAGTTGCTATATGAGCCAATGATGGACCCATTAAAAAAAATCATATACTTGCTCTGAGGTTGAGGGAAGATATTTCTCAAAAAAATATATCACATCATGGCTCCATTAATCTTTTATTTTTATAGTATTTTTATTTTATAATTAACTTAATTTCGCATATCAGCCACGGATTCCTCTGTCCTCCATCTTCCAAATCCCCAGCCCTCCCCCCAATCCACCCCACATTCCCACCTCCTCCAAGGCAAGGTCTCCCCTGGGGAGTCAGCCCAGCCTGGTAGACTCAGCTGAAGCAGGTCCAGTCCCCTCCTCCCTACATCAAGGCTGAGCAAAGTGTCCCAGCATAGGCCCCAGGCTCCAAAAAGCCAGCCCATGCACCAAGGACAGGTTCTAGTTCCACTGCCTGGGGGCCTCCCAAACAAAAAAAATTATTCATTTTACATACCAAAGATCCCCCTACTTCCCTCCTCCTGCTCCTCCAGCCTACCGCTCCCAACCCACCCCCCATTCCCTCCTACAAGAAGGTAAGGCCTCCCATGGGGAGGTATATTTAGTAGAGGCATGTCCAAGCCCCTCCCCCTGCCTCAAGGCTGTGCTAGATGTCCCATCATAGAAGTGAGCTCCAAAAGGCCTGCTCATTTACCAGGGATGGATTCTGATCCTACTGCCAGGGGGCCCCTTAAGCAGATCATGCTACACTCCGTTAATCTTAAGAATATAACGGGGAGATCCAATTTGGTTCACTGGTCTGCCTTTTCAATGCCAAACTGAAGGGCTATTCTATAAGGTCATGCTTGAATATTTAACCTAGTCAAGTTTTCACATTTTATTTTCACAGTCCAGTGGCTATACCACTAATTTCCCCTGAAAATTAACCTGTAGACATCTCTCTAAAATGTTCCTCTTCTGAACTTAGACTTATTCATTGTCTTTGTTTTTCAACTTTAGAATCTATAGCAAGGCTTTGAAAAGTAAAATCCATAAAAGGAGACATCTTGAGCAGTCTCTTACTTTCAGAGAAATGAATGCTCTGGCAAATAGGAAATGCACCAACATTTCCAAAAGTACCAATGAAAAGCAAACAATGAAGACACCAATACCCTCAAAGTAAAACTAAAGTGGAAAACTATTTCAAAGAAAATATAGCATAAACTCTGAAGACAGTGCAGTCAGCAACGAGTTAAACTGTGTATTACTCAATTGATATAAAGATGTAGCAAATATCCAAAGTGCCTCAAGATATAAAATAGTTATTGTTGGCAATTTGATGAGGTTTAAACTCTGTGGAGAAGAATTGCAAAACCAATTTGTTATATCAAGGTAAATCTAAAATAAGTGTTCAAATTTGCCCAGAGCACATGTAACAAAAATCATCTCCTTATTCTCTTTTATACAGTGAGGAAAGTCATTGCACATTATTCCCCTATCTGTAGACACAGATAACACGCATAGACTTTCTTGGAACAAAAGGTTACAAGCTCAAATCACAGCTGTTCCACATTTACCTAAGTCCTAACTGTGTACCCAGAGGAGATAGAATACCACCCTGTAGATAAGAAGAACTCCATACAGAAAGCACAGGGAGGTGTCATTAAAATGTGTGTGTTTTCCCCCCCACCTCCACAACAGCTTTATTTCTCCACTGAAAATGATTAGAGAAAAACAAAAGTCTGGGAGAAAGAACAATTAAAAATGTTCAGATTTCCTTAGCTACATTCCCTTTGTTATGGGTGTATTTAACTAAAGAAGTGTATACTGAAAGGATTAGGGATAAGAACCAGGAAAATATTTTTTTTTAAGTTTATGGTGGTTTGAATAAGAATAGCCCCATAAGCTCATATATTTGAATGTTTGTTCCACAGTTGGTATAACTGTTTGGAAAGGATTAAGAGGTATGACCTTGTAGGGGGAGTTGTGTCATGGGGGGGGGATGGGGGTCGGTGATGGATGGCCCACACCATTCTGACTTAGCTTTCTCTCTCTCTGCCTCATGCTTGCAGATAAGATGTGAGCTCTCAGCTACTGCTCCAATGCTGCTGCCATGACCTCTGCCATGGTAATTATCGACTTACCTTCTGAAGCTGCAAGTAAGAACTCAATAAAGTGCTTTCTTTTATAAACTGCCTTGACCATGATGTATCTTCACAGCAATAGAAAGATAACTTAGATAGAATTTAAGTGGAGTTACCCTCTAATGGGAGGACAATGCCATAACAAGACAGCACATGCTAGAAAATAAAACCTCAATACCAAAAATGGTGCCTCTCCCTGTGTGGCTGGCCAGTGGGATCCTATAAATCTATAAATATAACAGGCTTAGGTTATTGATCTCCGTTACTCTCTATAACTTGAAGCTAAGACCCTATTGCTGAAGATACCACATACTTAAGTCATAAAGATTGGAGAAATCAAGTAGGTACTGACAAGCTTCATCCATACTGGCTAGCTTTTCATAGTGCTGTGCAAACTACTAGAGGAAAAAAACATCAATCTTAACTAGCTGCAAATCCTGTGAGTTATAATAATAACTGCCTTGGTAAGATATCACCACTTTTTCAATAGTGGCATGACCACCACAGGGGTAAACAAGTACTTTATGATTGGATTTAAGACCTGCTCTGTGAGATGGAACCCATACTTGGCAGTTGTTGGTGCAAAGAACCTGTGACTAGATGGATTAGCCCTATTATCCTGCCGAATAAGGACAGTTTTAAAACAGTCCTATTGACTTATTGCTATACCCAGAGATCAAGGCATGGCTCAATCTACATCAGAGAAGCATCTTCTCTCAGTAGACAAAAATCAACACAGAGACCGACAACTGTCAACATACAGAGAATAAGAAACTGTGAATGTTCCACCTTCACTGAGGCAGCTATACAACATACCCTCTCCCAAAGTATGGGGGTCATCTCAGAAGAGTGGAGAGACTGTGAGAGACAGGTGGTGGATGACTAAACGGAAACAGTGTTTTCTGGATACAAGAGGGCAGTTGCACATATTAACTCACAATGACATGCAAGCACAAGATCTGTTCAAAGTCAACTCACAATGATCGTGATAGCGCAAAGTTCTGTTCAAAGCCAAGACAGATTAAAACCCTAGTGGGAAAATAAGCACGAAGTCCCATCCCTAGCCGAGGAGCTATTGACATTTGATAGCTGCTGGGAAATGGAGACTCCATTTTCTTTAAGGGTACAACCCTTCGTAGTTAGTCTACTCTCCAGGGCAGACCCTATAGCCAATAATATTTGGGCAACACTAATTTGACTTGATGGGCTTACAAAAAGAAAGAAAAAAAACATGAAATTGGGTGGGTAGGGAAGTGGGGGTGAATCTGCAAAAAGTTTCAGAGTATGAATATGATCAATGTACATTGCATGACATTTTCAAATAATTAATAAAATATTATTAATATCATTTAAGAAAGGGTCTGGGGAAAATGTTAACTTTTCTGAAGGTTTCACAATGTTCAGAATAAAAATGTAAAGGAAAAAATTGCATAATATAAAAATGCTAATAGACATTATAGGTATAAATTCTTAAGATAATAATTTATTATAAACTAGTTACTGCTCATCTTTTTAAAGAGCACATGAATTAAATTCACAAGAAAAACACTTCCGGCATATACCTTGCCACTGACCACTTCAGCTTCCAATTCAACCTTCTTTTTTCTTTCTCTCTGTGCCTCTAGCTGCCTGTACTACTTAGAACAACAAACTAAGCTAAGTGATGCTTCAGGATGCGTGTTGCCAGAAGTTGGGACAAAAACTCAATACAGGGAGATTAGTGGACAAATGACAGCCTGTGCTGCAATTTGTCCTGAGAGCGCCACTGATTTCCATCACTTCCATTTTCTGTTTCCCTCTTCGTGGGGCCGCACTAAGAGAGGACAAGGTAACTCGTGGTGATTCAGACTTCATTCTTAGAGGGACTGAATTCTTTTGCTGACTTTCCCTTCTTCTTAGCCATGGTTGCTATAACTGCCCATCTATGTTGTCATGAGCCAGATGAACACTAAGAGACTTTCTGTTACCAAATTGGCTTCCAAATACTTGACACATCTTAATTTTGCTCCTTTGCATACTGGTACAGGAAAGCCAAAATGATCACACGCTTGTTAAGGCTTTAGGTTCACTGTAGGTTTTACCATGCAT